AAGTGAACAAAACTGTGGCAAAGTATCAAAACAAGACTATGGCAAAAATATCAAAGCAAGATTAAAATGACTGTGAGAAAACATGGCTATGACTAAAACAGTAAACAAAACTATGGCATGGCTGTGACAAATCAAGATTAACCAGACTATGACCAAAGTATCAAATAAAGTGAACAAAACTGTGGCAAAGTATCAAAACAAGACTATGGCAAAAATATCAAAGCAAGATTAAAATGACTGTGAAAAAACATGGCTATGACTAAAACAGTAAACAAGACTATGGCATGGCTGTAACAAATCAAGATTAACCAGACTATGACCAAAGTATCAAATAAAGTGAACAAAACTGTGGCAAAGTATCAAAACAAGACTATGGCAAAAATCAAAGCAAGATTAACATGACTGTGAAAAAACATGGCTATGACAAAAACAGTAAACAAGACTATGGCATGGCTGTGACAAATCAAGATTAACCAGACTATGACCAAAGTATCAAATAAAGTGAACAAAACTGTGGCAAAGTATCAAAACAAGACTATGGCAAAATATCAAAGCAAGATTAACATGACTGTGAAAAAACATGGCTATGACTAAAACAGTAAACAAGACTATGGCATGGCTGTGACAAATCAATATTAACCAGACTATGACCAAAGTATCAAATAAAGTGAACAAAACTGTGGCAAAGTATCAAAACAAGACTATGGCAAAAATGTCAAAGCAAAATTAACATGACTGTGAAAAAACATGGCTATGACAAAAACAGTAAACAAGACTATGGCATGGCTGTGACAAATCAATATTAACCAGACTATGACCAAAGTATCAAATAAAGTGAACAAAACTGTGGCAAAGTATCAAAACAAGACTATGGCAAAAATATCAAAGCAAGATTAACATGACTGTGAAAAAACATGGCTGTGACTAAAACAGTAAACAACACTATGGCATGGCTGTGACAAATCAAGATTAACCAGACTATGACCAAAGTATCAAATGAAGTGAACAAAACTGTGGCAAAGTATCAAAACAAGACTATGGCAAAA